CGCTTTATTCGATAAAGACTTCATTGTTTTTTATACTTTAATATTGACTTCAATCTGAGACAAACACTAATTCATATCATTCTTCAGCGTTATTGTGAAAAGTCACATGCATATACTAATGTTTGGATCTCATTTCTACACATCACACATGCTTACAATTCACTGGCGGCTTTATTGGATAAAGACTCCATTGTTTTTTATATTCAAGTACACACTTGCAATCCATTGGCCGAAAAGTCGTACGCCCGCCTTGTTGAATGTTTAATTATGTCACGAGCAACAAATATGGACGCATGGTTTATAAATGATTGCCTTGGGGCCTTTGGCCTTTGAGTCTTTCTAATTATCATGTTGCTCAAGTTAAATGGACTAATTACTAACCTCGTAAGCCATACACTAGTTTAGACTTTGGGTACTATTTTTATTGGCCAAGACACGCTTCCCTGAAAAATAAACTTAAAATATAATTAAATCGATAATCTCCGTAGACCTTTGTTGAAGATAATGTTTCTCTCTTCTATTGCCGTGTCAAAATCGAAAACAATCAAGTTCAAAACCATAAACGTGTTTGGACTTTGGGTGTTGTTTTATTGGCCAAAGACACGCTTCATTGAAAAATAAACTTAAAATATAATTAATTCGATAATCTTCATAAATGGTTGTTGAAGATAATGCTTCTCTCTTCTATTGTTGTGTCAAATTCGTGAACAATCAGGTTCAAATCTTAGGATCAATTATATATTTATAAAATTTCAAATTCTTAATTGTCAAATCTCATCTTGAATCATTCTAGCAAGCTTGTAACATGACATTTGCCGACAACAAATGTCAACTTGACGTAAGATCCACTGTTGAGATTAACATGCTATGACTATAACGATTTTTTTTTTTAAATGACATAATCCTCTTTCAAGAGACATAAGGGTGACGCTTGGTGCATCTTTTAAAAAGTTATATTCATTTTTTTTTATAATATTAACTCAAGTCCAATTATAAATTGGCCCATCCGAAATTTTTAATTATCGATTATCAAGTTAGTCTTGAACATGTTAGGTCCATCATAGTTGATACTCTACTTCCTTGTAATGAATATTTTCGAAGAGACATGTTACGAAGATTCAATAAAATTACTCATTTATCATTTTTTTTTATCAGTATTGATAAAATTCACAATAAGCTTACCTGTAAGAAAAACCAACTTATTTTCATATTGGATCGAGCAAAATGATCTAATATGTTAACCATTCTTGGCACGCAATGTCCAAATAAAAGGCACTAGAGAGAGCATTAGAAAAGTCTAATCTTGAGCATTCCACGGTAGTTGCACAATTCCATCTCTAATAACAAGAACCTTCAATTCTCAATGAAGCCCCCGTTTGTTTATCATTAAAGTAAGCAAATGAGTTTTGGAGAATGTATCTTTAAAAAGTAGGACAAGCTTTTTTATTTAAGTGTAAAATATTTTTATCGTGAAAATGTGTGGTAGAAAACGAATTTCAGAGATAAAGAAATTAGAAATAATGATAGACACATAGGGGCATATTGTTAAATAATTGTCTTAAACACATGTTATTTAAAACTTTTGGACATCAATCAAAGTCGAAAAAAATAAACTTCTTAAAGTTGAATGTGTCAATAATTGAAATTGAAATAAAAGAATAAAAATCATAGCTTTAGCCTCTGTTTGGGAGCCATTTTCTTCTCAAAAGTAGAAGAAATATTATCGTTGCATGTTGGGCAGCCTACCATGTTTGACTGCCTTTGTGTGTAGTGGGGCTCGGGTGTGTGGAAAATAACGATACAAAAAATTCCAGAAATGGGAAAAGTATGGCTCCCAAACAGAATCTTAGTCCATTTTCCCCTTAAGGAAGTTTCCTGGTGAAACACACGCCCTCCTAAGAATTTTGTTATTTTTACAAAAAAATTATGATAAATGCTGTGATATAATCTCAGGGTGTGTTTGAACCTCATTATTTTGGAAGAATGTATTTTGAAATAGTAGATTGAGGGAGAATGTGTAGTTGAAAAAGAAGGAAAAGTTATTGATGTGATGGAAAATATTATTTTATTGAAGAATATGTGGTTGAAAATGAGTATAAGAATGAAAATGAAAAAAATAACGTGGATGAAACATGGACTCAGTTGGCAACAGATGATTCCATGAATATGTTGAATTTGTTTAAAACAAAAAATTATGTGGAATTACGTCAAGATTACGTCAACCGTTACGTTGCTGTAGCATATTCCCCCCTAATCCCTTTGAAATCCTCGAGAGTTTATTTAACCAATTCTTGAAGATGAACAGTATTTTTCAGACTGCAAAATATCTGCAGCACCTGTAAGTAGTCCGTACAAATTCACGTTACATATTATTCTATTTTCTTGGTGGCCCCTTTCGTTGTTAAGAATGCTTTATACTTTTTCGTATTTGTTTTGTTAGAATATTGGGTTGTGTAACTCATTCTTTTGTATTCAATGTTCTTTCTTTGTCTGTTCTTGGTTTACTCCTTTCAGCTTTCGAGAGGTGTTCTTCTGGGGTTTTTTTTTTTTTTTTTAATTTCATTTTTGTTGATTTATAAGGTGGGAGACAAGTGTTAAGACATTTGACAATCTTGGAAAAAATGGGCGTTCTTGAGAGGTCCCAGCCAACTCTTAGTTTGATTGAGTGTTTATGCTGGTGTTTGGTGCTTATAGGAGGAGCACATAGCCAACTGACGCATCCGACTGAAGGTGATTTGTTTTGTTTTTCATCTACTTTTGAGTTACTTCGAGCATGATTACGGTGCGTTTGGTTTGCTGTTTTTTTTGTTGTAATTCTAGGATGTTTACTTAGTTGGATTTAACAAAACAAATAAAGTTTAAATTTTTCTTTCGTGTTACTTACGGTGCGTTTGGTTTAATATTTTCAAATTGTTTTCAGTTTTCGATTGTGCAAAACACCTAAAACTTATTTGATCTATATTTTCGAAAACAATGTTAAACTTTAACATAAAATTTTGAAAACACTCAGAATAGAAAACAAACGTTTAAATAAAATTCTAAAAAAATAAATTCAAAAAATAAAAAATTGATAATAATGAGAAATAAAAAATAAAAAATTTGAAAAAATAGTATCTAAAATTCTAAAAAAAAAAAATTCAATTTTTTTAATGATTATTTACATAAAAATTCCACCTTATTGTTATTTGTGGGCAAACAAGTAAAGGAAGTAAATCAAGGCTTCTTATTGTTTTTGACATCCTTGAAAATATAAATTAGTGACAAGACTTAATGCCGGTGCACTGGCGAATTTATAACTAATAAAATTGTTTTAAGGTTCAAATTAGACAGTGAATTGCCATGTTATTTCCCCCCATAACTTGGATATAATAGCAGTTTCTTTGATCAAGAACTACTCATATTCCAAACATCAATTAAAAAAAAATTAAGTGTGCCACTATTTTACGTTTAAAAAGAATTAGGATTGGACAAAACTCTCGAACCGAACCGAACTAAACTGAATCGAGCGGTTCTTCTTAGGTTAAATACCCTAATGGGTATTTGAATCGAAAACTGACGGGTTCGATTCGGTTCTCGATTCTAGACCAAGAATCGAAGAACCGAATAAGAACAGAATCTCTCAAATTTTTTAAATTTTTTATTTTAAATAAGTCAAATTATTTTATTTTTTTCTAAATGAATTTGTTAACAAATTAATTTAGCTCAAACGTTAAGTATGATTTTATTATTTCTAATTTTTAGTGGGCCCAACTTAATCAAATTGACCTAAGTTTTACCCAAATTTTTTATTCTACCGTAATGTCGTTTTTGCCGTTTTATTATTATGAACTGACTATCTTCCTCTTCTTGTGATTTTAACAGTCAGATTTATGAAGAACTCAACAAATATATGGGCAAAAGATATCATCAGATTGGACTATGTTATTTTTTAAGAGTTAATATTGAACATGTCATAGTCGAATTAATGTAGCGTTATTGCAAATATAAAAAAATTAATTATTGTACGGAACTCGAAAACTGAACCGAACCGAACCGAACCGAATGGAACCGAACCCGAACGGTTCCATAATTAAATTTGGACCCGATGGGTCCACTTACTAAATATCCAAAAAATTTGGTTCGATTCGAACCATGTCCAACCCTAAAAAGAATGTAGAATGGATTCCTGTTTAATTCACACCTCATTTGGATGACAACACCAGTAGTGAAAGTATGCAGAAATCATATTTCTAGTAATTTGTTATATAATTGTCGTATTTGTTAGTACTGAAAGATCATTTGTTATATAATTTTCCTTACCTGTGTTAACTCTTTCAAATGCTTACCACCATCAATGGGATTATGAAACGTAATGTAATTGAATATCTGATGAAGATTCTTACTAAGGTACACAGACATGGAATTTAAGAGTTTAATAATGAGATACCCATTGACAGTCTACATCATTCATACGTGACTTATTCTGGAAGCACGAATCATTTAAAATGTCAAAACATAAGTCGGTGATGTATTTAGGTATAAAGATCACAACCTATCTTAAAGAGTTTAATAATGAGATACCCATTGACAGTCTACATCATTCATACGTGCCTTATTCTGGATGCCCAAATCATTAAAAATGTCAAAACATAAGTCGGTGATGTCTTTCGGTATAAAGATCACAACCTATCTTTAATATTTTCTGCAGTGAATGCATTGCGAAACATCAAGGGAAGTTTGACGGACCCATATCGGAATCTACGCAATTGGAACAGGGGGGATCCATGTACTTCAGAATGGACAGGGGTTTTTTGCTATTACATAACACCGAGTGATGGTTATCTTCATCTTAGAGAATTGTACGATTTTAGTCCTTCCCCCTCCTTTTATTTGCTGTATCGTAGTTTACAGATATTGTGTATGTTAAATGTACAATGCATTTTTATGGCTTCCAAATTATTAAAATTGTATAACTGCGTATTTCTGTTTGTATCTGATTCTGTGTCACTTGGTGTCAAAATTCATCGTCATAAGTAAAAGACACTTTAGTAAATAGTAGGCCGACTTTTTCCTTTCGGGTCGTGTTCATGAGATCAACAGGTTTTGGTCCGGAAGAGGGATGTAAATGTTCCTGCACGTGGATATGGTGTGGATATATGCTGGCATTAATGTTTTGTATTACTGTTGAACCACGGGATTGGTATAACCAAGCTGGTGATGAACAAGTGATAAATTTGATGGGACGCAAAAATTATTGATTAAATACTTTTTCCCATGTCTACAACATTGAGTTTATTGATGACTGCTGGACATGTCAAACATTATAGAGCATAATGTGCGGGATAGATTATATTAGTCTAGTACTATTTCGGAATACTGAAACTTACAAATATAAGAAACATGTCTATCGTCTTAAAAGTTTGGGGAAAACTATATAGATTTCTGTTGTATGGGAACTGTACATGTAAAGAAAGAACTCTTCAAATTTAGCTGAATGAGATTCCAAGGAAGATGCTTAATAGTTTCAGATTGTGGATATGCTAGAATTTCTTTGAAAACATTTTACAATTTATGTATGTTGCTAACTGTATAATTAGTGACTGAGCAATACTGCCTTCATTTTTTTTTTCACCAACAGGTCACTACTAAATATGAATATATCAGGAAGCTTATCTCCACAACTTGGACAGTTATCTCATTTAGAGATATTGTAAGTTAGATATTTAATGCACAACTCTTTTCTATTTGTGCTATTTATTTTTTTCAATAAGTTACCTCGTAATTCTCTCTACCTATCTATGTTGCCTTTCCTTTCCTTTTTAATTAATTATTTTTTATTGTTCTCAAAGGGACTTTATGTGGAACAACGTTACTGGGAGTATACCTAAGGAGATAGGCCGCATTACAACATTAAAATTGTTGTAAGTTGAAGCAGCTCTTTACTCAGTTATCATTTTCACCGCTCCATTTTCAAATATAAAACTTCTTCTACTTTGCTTAATTTTTGACTAAATGCTCATTTGAAGTGAGTGAAACCTTATAAGTCCTCCTAAGCAATCCATTATATTAATTGCTAATTCTCGACAGAGGCTTCACCATGATCTGAACCATTACGTTTTTACTTGTGCTTTCCTTTCTCTGATTCCAGGCTTCTGAATGGAAATCAACTGACAGGTTCCTTGCCCGATGAGATTGGTTTTCTTCCTAACTTGGACAGGATACAAATTGACCAGAACAAAATATCTGGATCTATACCTACGTCATTTGCTAACTTGAGCAACATAAAGCACTTGTAAAGATTCTTCTTTATTTCTGGGCTTTTCTGTTGTTTCTTTAGAGAACCTGTTTCAGAGGTATCAGGACCCATGCTGTTGCCGCCTCTTCGAAATTATTAATGCATTTTCCTTTTAATTGTTCTTACTTGAACAGCCACATGAATAATAATTCACTTAGTGGGCAAATACCACCACAGTTGTCCAGACTTCCAAAACTTGTTCACTTGTGAGTTGAGGATATGAATCTTTTAAGCCTTCCACTGCTTCTTGAACATCTGATTTTAGTCGAAGACCTGAAACCTTGCAGGTTACTTCACAATAACAACTTATCGGGATATCTTCCGCCGGAGCTTTCTGAAATGCCAAGTTTGCAGATACTGTATATATTTACTTTGGTTATTCCATAATGCTGGGATTTTTCTGTATCAGCCAGCACGTTTTAGTTTATTTCATTTATTTCTTTATTATTTTTTTTTTTTGCATACTTGCTTTATTGGTTTATAATATAATAATAATTATTGATCAATGCTATTAGTTTATAACCAAAAGTGGCTCCATTTTTCTTAGCAAATGAAAAACCTTTGAATCCGAAATGAACCTTAAAATGAAAAAACATGAAGTGTATTTTGTGTTCTTTCTGGAAGATAAACCAGTAGGCTATAGTGGGTGAAAGAAGATGGAGGAGTTCTGCACATGATATTGTTAAGTACTAGTACACCTGAAGTTTCATGAAGAAGAAGTTGCACGTTAATGCAGTCCTGTTGCGTGAGAGTGAAGTTTCACCGTTATTCTGGTCTTTCTTATGATT